CGGGGGGCCCGGGGTGGGGGGGGGGTGACACTGGGGGGCACTGGGTGGCACTGGGTGGCATTTGTTGGCACTGGGAGTGGCGCTGGGGGACACTGGGTGGCACTGGGTGGCACTGGCTGGCATTGGGGGTGGCACTGGGTGGCACTGGGTGGCACTGGATGGCATTTGTTGGCACTGGGGGTGGCGCTGGGTGGCACTGGAGGACGCTGGGTGGCACTGGGTGGCACCGCATTGGGGGTGGCACTGGGTGGCACTGGAAGACACTGGGTGGCACTGGGTGGCATTTGTTGGCACTGGGGGTGGCGCTGGGTGGCACTGGAGGACGCTGGGTGGCACTGGGTGGCACCGAGGGTGGCACTGTGGGTGGCACTGCGGGTGGCACAGGGTCCCCAAATGCCACCCAGGAGACCAAGGAGAAGCGCAGGCACGGGGACGTGGCACCCGTGGGTGGCACTTGGTGGCACCGGTGTCTCCCGCAGGGTCCCCAGGTGCCACCCCCGAGGTCCCCCAGGTGACCTACGCGGAGCTGCCGGGACCGCGGTGGCAGCCGGGGGACGGCGGTGACTACGAGAACGTGCTGTGACACCGCGGTGGCACCAGGGGGTGGCACCGGCTCCCCAAAAGCCACCCAGGGGACAGCGGTGACATCCACGAGGCCGTGCTGTGACACCGGGGGTGGCACTGGGGACAGGCACAGGCGTGTGTCCCCTGATCCTGTGGGTGCCCACCCTGCCCACGGCCACCGGGACCTGTCCCTGTCCTTGTCCCCTCCCTGTCCCTGTCCCTGCCCTGTCCCTGTCCCTGTCCCTGTCCCCTCCCTGTCCCTGTCCCCTCCCCATGGCCACCGTCCCTCTGTCCGTCCCAGCCGCAGGAATTTGGGACAATCCCAACAACGAGCCCAGAGTGACCCCGGGTGACCCCAGGGGGGTTGGGGACAGCCCCGAGGTCCCCGGGGGTCCCGGGAGCCCCCCCGAGCCCCCCGGTGGGCGGGGATGGGGATGGGGGCACCAGGGGCTGGGCTTTGGTTCCGTCTCCTTTTCTGTTTTCATGGACGAGAAATTCAGCAATGAATTCAACAATGAATTCAGCAGGGAATTCAGCAAGAAATTCAACATTGAATACAACAATAAATTCAACAATAAATTCAACAACAAATTCAACAATAAATTCAACAATGAATTCAACAATGAATTCAACAACGAATTCAACAATAAATTCAACAGTGAATTCAGCAATTAATTCAACAATAAATTCAACAATAGATTCAACAATAAATTCAGCAATGAATTCAACAAGAAATTCAACAATAAATTCAACAATAAATTCAGCAGCGAATTCAACAATAGATTCAGCAATGAATTCAACAATAGATTCAACAATAAATTCAGCAATGAATTCAACAATAAATTCAATTATTGCCCCCAAACTTCGCCCCGGACCAAGCCCAGCCTGCCGGGGCTGGGGGGGCTCCAGGGGGTGACCAGGGGGGTCCGTGTTTGCTGGTCCTGATCCTGTTCCCGTTCCCGTTCCCATTCCCGTTCCCATTCCCGTTACATTCCCATTCCCGTTCCCATTCCCGTTCCATTCCCGTTCCCATTCCCGTTCCTGTTCCATTCCCATTCCATTCCCGTTCCCGTTCCGTTCCCATTCCCGTTCCTGTTCCCGTTCCTGTTCCATTCCCATTCCCATTCCCATTCCCATTCCCGTTCCCATTCCCGTTCCATTCCCATTCCCATTCCCGTTCCCATTCCCGTTCCATTCCCATTCCCAGGGGGGCAATGGGGGGGGGGGTTTTTGGGGGGGCATTTTTGGGGGTGTAATCAGGGGTAGGGGTTTTTTGGGGTGCAGTCTGCGGTTGCAGTTTTTGGGGTGCAGGTTTTGGGGTGTAATCAGGGGTTGCAGTTTTTGGGGTGCAGTTTTTGGGGTGTAATCAGGGGTTGCAGTTTTTGGGGTGCAGTTTTTGGGGTGTAATCAGGGGTTGCAGTTTTTGGGGTGCAGCTTTTGGGGTGCAATCAGTGCTAGCTGTTTTTTGGGGCTGCCCTTTGGGGCTCACCTTCACCCCACACATTTCAGCCACAACCACTGGGTACCCACCACCCCCTTCTGGGGGTGCACCCCCCACTTCGCCTCCCCCTGACCCCCCAAACCCCCCCTCAGGTGCCCTGGACGACTTCGAGCGCAGCCGCCCCGCGCCCCCTCCTCCTCCTCCCCACCCCTCCTCCCCGCCGTGCCCCCCTTCCGCCGCCGACTCCGCCAAGGTGGGCACCCCAAAACCCCTTGTGCCGCCTCGGCGGGGCCGCGCCGGCGCTGCTGACGCCGCGGCCAGGGCTCGCTGTTCTCCTCGCAGGAGAGGTTCTTCCAGGAGCTCTTCGAGGGCGAGCTGGCGGCGCAGGCGGCGGCCGAGTTCCAGGAGGCCATGCGGGAGCTGGCCCGCCAGGAGCCCCAGCTGGTGGAGCAGTTCCAGAAGCTCTCGGAAGCTGCCGGGAAAGTCGGTGGGTGGGCTGGGGGCTGAGGGGGGGGGATCTCAGCCATGGGATGGGGGTCAGGGTTATCCCCCATCCTCATCCCAGATGGGGTTGCTCCTCTCTTTGGGATCGGGGCAGCACTCCAGCAGGATCCTGCGTTATTCCCGTTATTCCCGTTATCCCCCATCCCAGTTGGGATTGCTCCTCTCTTTGGGATTGGGACAGCTCCTGGCAGGATCCTGCATTATTCCCATTATTCCCGTTATCCCCCATCCCAGCTGGGGTTGCTCCTCTGTTTGGGATCAGGGCAGCACTCCAGCAGGATCCTGCGTTATTCCCGTTATCCCCCATCCCCATCCCAGCTGGGGTTGCTCCCCTGTTTGGAATCAAGGACAGCACCCCAGTGGGACCCCACATTATTCCCATTAATCCCCATTCCCATTCCCATTTCCCATTCCCATTCCCACCCCATTCCCACCCCATTCCCATCCCATTCCCGTTCCCATTCCCACCCCATTCCCATTCCCGTTCCCATTCACATTCCCATTCCCGTTCCCGTCCCCATTCCCATCCCATTCCCATTCCCACCCCATTCCCATTCCCGTTCCCATTCCCCGCAGGCAGCGACGCGGCCTCGCAGCAGGAATTCACCTCCTGCCTCAAGGAAACGCTGAGCGGGCTGGCCAAGAACGCCAATGACCTCCAGGTACTCCCTCCCAGCCCTTCCCGGGGGGCTCCCGGGGCTGTCCCGGGGGTCCTGGGGGGCTGACGGGGCCGGGGGTCCCGCAGAATTCCCCGGGCTCGGAGGAGGAGCTGGCCAAGGCCCTGGAGGGGCTGGGGCTGGACGAGGGCGGCGGGGACGGCGTCCTGCCCGTCATGCGCAGCATCATGGAGTCCCTGCTGTCCAAGGACGTGCTCTACCCCTCCCTCAAGGAGATCACCGAGAAGGTGGGACCCCAAAAACCGGGAGGAACCCCAAAAACCGGGAGGAACACCAAAAACCGGGAGGAACCCCAAAAACCGGGAGGAACCCCAGAAATGGGGAGGAACCCTAAAAAACCTGAGGGGGGGGTCTGAAATCCTGGAGGGATTAGCGGGAAACTCAGGGGTGACGCGGGGACATCATGGAGTCCCTGCTGTCCAAGGACGTGCTCTACCCCTCCCTCAAGGAGATCACCGAGAAGGTGGGACCCCAAAAACCGGGAGGAACCCCAAAAACCGGGAGGGCACCCCAAAAAACCTGAGGGGGCGTCCCTTGGGGTGTGGGAAACTCAGGGGTCTCATGAGGACACGGTGCAGTCCCTGCTGTCCAAGGACGTGCTCTGTCCCTGACCCACTGTGGGGTCTGTCCCTGTCACCCCCAGGGCTGTACTGGGACATTTCCCTCTTTTCTCCAGGATATTGGGGGTGCCGTGGGGGATTTGGGGTGCCGTGGGGGATTTGGGGGCTCCCTCTCTGTCCCCGGGTGTCCCCAGTACCCTGCGGCAGCACGAGGGGTCTCTGTCCCCAGAGCAGCGGCCACAGTTTGTGGCGCTGAGGGGCTGGGATTGGCTGGGATTTGGGGGTCATTGGCTGGGATTTGGGGGTTCCGTGGAGGATTTGGGGGTTCCCACGGTGTCCCCAGTACCCGGAGTGGCTGCGGCAGCACGAGGGGTCCCTGTCCCCAGAGCAGTGGGTGCGGTTCGGGGTTCAGCAGGGGCTGAGGGGCTGGGATTGGCTGGGATTGGGGGTCATTGGCTGGGATTTGGGGGTTCCATGGGGGATTTGGGGTTCCCTCGATGTCCCCTCTCTGTCCCCCGGGTGTCCCCAGTACCCAGAGTGGCTGCAGCAGCACGAGGGCTCACTGTCCCCAGAGCAGTGGGCACAGTTCGGGGTTCAGCAGGGGCTGAGCGGCTGGGATTGGCTGGGATTTGGGGGTACCTAGAGTGACCCCAGTGTCCCCTCGATGTCCCTCTCTGTCCCCGGGTGTCCCCAGTACCCAGAGTGGCTGCAGCAGCACGAGGGCTCACTGTCCCCAGAGCAGTGGGCACAGTTCGGGGTTCAGCAGGGGCTGAGCGGCTGGGATTGGCTGGGATTTGGGGGTTCCGTGGAGGATTTGGGGGTTCCCCCGGGTGTCCCCAGTACCCGGAGTGGCTGCGGCAGCACGAGGGCTCGCTGTCGGCGGAGCAGCGGGCGCGGTTCGGCGCGCAGCAGGCGCTGATGCTGCGGATCTGCGCCGAGCTGGAGCGGGAGCGGCCCGAGGAGCCCGAGGGGCAGCGCCGGGAGCGCTTCGAGACCCTGCTGGACCTGATGCAGCAGGTGCGACCCCCGTGTCACCCCCGTGTCACCCCCGTGTCCCTCTGTGTCCCTGGGTCCTCTCTGTGTCACCTCCGTGTCCCTCTGTCCTCCCCCCATGTCCCTGGGTCCCCTCTGTGTCCCTCTGTCCCCTCCATGTCCCTCTGTGTTGCCCCCGTGTCACCCCCGTGTCACCTCCGTGTCACCCCCGTGTCCCTCTGTGTCCCTCTGTGTCCCTCCATGTCCCTCTGTGCCCTCCGTGTCACCCCTGTGTCTCCTCCATGGCACCGGGACCCCTCCGTGTCCCTGGGTCCCCTCCGTGTCCCTGGGTCCCCTCTGTGTCCCCTCCGTGTCCCTCTGTCCCCCTCCATGTCCCTGTGTCCCCCCTCTGTGTCACCCCTGTGTCCCCTCTATGTCCCCGGGTCCCCTCCGTGTCACCCCCTTGTCCCTCTGTCCTCCCCCCGTGTCCCTGTGTCCCCTCCTTCTGTCCCCCCACGTTCCTGGGTCCCCACCGTGTCACTCCCATGTGCCTCTGTCCCCCCATGTCCCTCTGTCCTCTTCTGTGTCCCCATGTCCCCCAATGTCCCTCTGCCCCTTCTGTCCCGCCTCTGTCCCCACCATGTCCCTCTGTCCCCTCTGTCTCCACCATGTCCCTCTGTCCCCCCCATGTCCCCGTGTCCCCTCTGTGTCCCTCTGTCCCCCCCATGTCCCTTGTCCCCTCTGTGTCCCCTCACAGCTGCAGGACCTGGGCCACCCCCCCAAGGAGCTGGCAGGGGACACGGTGAGTGTTTGGGGACACCCCCTGAAGGGGTTTGGGGTCACCCAAAGGGTTTGGGGTGGTCCTAAAGAATTGGGGGGACCCCAAAGGATTTGGGGTGACCTCATGGGATTGGGGAGATCCCGTTAAAATTGGGGTGACCTCACAGATTTGGGGTGACCCCATAGAACTGCGGTGACCCCATAAAGTTTGGGTAATCCTGTAGATTTGAGGTGATCCCATAGAATTGGGATGACTCCAGAAGATTTGGGGTGACCCCATAGATTGGGGGTGACCCCATAGATTTGGGGTGATCCCATACATTTGGGGTGACCCCACAGATTTGGGGTGACCCCATGCATTTGGGGTGATCCAATATATTTGGGGTAACCCCATGGATTTCGGTGCCCCCAGTTTTGGGTTGCCCCATAGATTTGGGGTCTCCATGGCTTTGAGGTGCCCCCATAGATTTGGGGTCCCCATGGCTTTGGGGTCCCCATAGATTTGGGGTGCCCCCATAGATTTGGGGTCCCCATAGATTTGGGGTGCCCCCATAGATTTGGGGTGCCCCCATAGATTTGGGGTCCCCACAGCTTTGGGGTGCCCCACAGCTTTGGGGTGCCCCCACAGCTTTGGGGTCCCCATGGCTTTGGGGTGCCCCCACAGCTTTGGGGTGTCCCCACAGCTTTGGGGTGCCCCACAGCTTTGGGGTGCCCCCATGGCTTTGGGGTCCCCACAGCTTTGGGGTGACCCTGTGTCCCCACAGCCACCAGGACTGAGCCTGACGGGGGAGCAGTGCCGCCTCATGTAGGGCACTTTTGGGGTCCCCCCCCGGATTTGGGGTGCCCCCCCGGATTTGGGGTGGCCCCCCGGATTTGGGGTGCCCCCGGCCCTAAAGGAGGTGAAGAGGAGCCCAGCAGGGGGGTTGGCATCTCCCCCACCCCAAATTTGGGGTTTTTTGGGGGTGGGGGGCGCAGGGACCCCCCCAGATGGGGAGGGGGGGGTCCCCCCCTCACCCCCCGGTGACCCCAATAAAGAGTTGGTGACGGGAACGGCTGCGCCTGCACGGGGACACCGGGGGACACTGGGGACATTGGGGACA